ATGGTTAAGCAAGGAGTTCTGGAAAAAGTTGATGGTCCGTCTGAGTAGATCAACTCAGTAGTGGTCAAGAAGAAAAACGGAACTCTGCGCATTTGTATAGATCCCAAGGACCTTAACGAAGTGCTAAAAAAAGAACTAATATTACCAACTTCCGACAATTGAAGAAATTACCGCTCGAATGCCAGGTGCACGTTACTTTTCCACGTTAGATGCAAGATCAGGTTATTGGCTGATACCACTTGACAAAGAAAGCTCCAAACTCACAACTTTTAACACACCATTCGGACGCTTCCGATTTAAACGTATGCCATTTGGAATTCGAAGTGCACAGGAAGTATTTCATAAACGAGTACATGAAATTTTCGAGGATATTCCTGGAGTCGAAACAGACATTGACGACATTCTGTGGGGAAGAACACTTCAAGAACACGATGATCGTCTCAAGGCAACGTTGGACAGAGCAAGAGAGTGCAATCTAAAGTTCAAGTTAGAAAAATGTCATTTCAGGAAGACGACAGTGGTGTACATTGGACATCAACTCACACTTGATGGAATCAAAGCTGATCCACAGAAGATAGAGGCAATCGTCAATATGCCAGAACCAGAGGATAAAAAGGGAGTTCAAAGGCTTCTCGGTTTGGTGAATTATGTGGGGAAATTCGTACCCAAACTGTCAGAAATCACTGCACCCCTTCAGGAGTTGCTCAGAAACGATGTGGCGTGGCATTGGTCTGAGGAACAGGCAAAAGCTTTTGAGGAGGTCAAGATCCTTCTTACAAATCCACAGCCTGGAGTTCTAGCCTACTACGATGTGAAGAAACCGATGAAGATTCAAGTCGATGCCTCAAAATCTGGATTGGGGGTAGTACTTACTCAGTCGGACAGGCCGGTTGCATATGCCTCGCGATCGTTGACGCCAGCAGAAACCAGATATGCACAGATAGAAAAAGAGCTTCTGGCAGTCGTGTTTGGCTGCAATCATTTCTATCAGTACATCTACGGTAAAAAGATTATAGTCAAATCTGATCATCAACCCCTTAAAGTTATTATGAAGAAATCTCTGGACAGATTGCCGATCCGTTTGCAAAGAATGTTGCTGAACTTACATAGTTATGATATCGAGGTAAAATATAGACCAGGCAAGGAACTGTATTTCGCAGACACCTTGTCGAGAGCACATTTAGCCAATTGCAAATCCGAAGAGGAAGCACTCAACCTAGATTATCAAGCAGTCTCTATGATTTAAACTCTACCTGTATCGGACAGCAAATTGCGAGAGATTAAAGAAGAGACGAAGAAGGATAAGACAATGCAAATCCTGGTAGAGGTCATCAAAGAAGGCTGGCCAACTCATAAAGTCAGTCTCCAAAATTCTCTACAACCGCTCTGGAATTACAGAGAAGAGCTGATGGTAATTGATGGTGTGGTATTCAAGAGTGAGAAGATACTCATTCCACCATCGTTACGAGAAAATGTTCTGAAGCAGATTCATCAAGGACACATGGGTATTGAGAGAAGTAAACAGCGTGCTCGAGAGCTGGTATTTTGGCCAGGCATAAACAAAGAAATCTAAGCAGTGATCAAGAATTGTTCTGTCTGTGCAGAGTACCGATGTAGCAATTAGAAAGAGCCCATGTTGGCACATGAAATCCCCAAATATCCATGGCAGATCGTAGCGACTAACATGTTTTATTTGAACGGTGATGATTACCTTCTAGTTGTCGACTATTATAGCAGATTCTGGGAGATATTCAAAGTCACAAACACAAAGAGCTCTGCAATTATTGCGAAGATGAAAACCCTATTTGCAAGACATGGGATATCAGAGATCGTTAAATCCGACAATGGTCCTCAGTATTCATTAGGAGAATTTGCAGAATTCGCCAAGACGTGGGGCTTCGAACACGTGACCTCAAGCCCTTTGTATCCGCAGTCGAACGGTCTAGCAGAAAGAACAGTTTGTACGGCGAAATCAATTCTAACAGAAGCACGAAGCAAGAATCAAGATCCAAATTTGGCCATACTGGAGCATAGAAATACACCGATTAACGACCTTGGATCACCAGCAAGATTAAGTATGGGAAGAAGACTTCATTCAAGAATGCCATCATCAACTGATCAACTTCTTCCGCACACAGTAAACCCAGCAATCGTTCAGATTCGTCTTGAACAAAGATAAACAAAGATGTTATAAGGAAGCCAGCACGTTATAAGGACTATGTTTAGAACTCTTACTATCTTTATATGGACTTATCAAGTAGAGTAAAACACCTATTTATTTAATTAGTACTTATATAGTGGACATATATCAGACATAATTAGTTATAGTAGTTATATCTTTTTTATACAAATTTAAGAAAACTGTTACAAAAATACCAATAGAATTTTAGATTATAATATAAGGGTGGACTCCACAGAAAACACTTAAAAAAATAAAAAGGAGGTTGTAATATATTCATTAGTCATTCATTGTATGTTAATGAGCATATATATATACCCTTGTAATCTGGCCTCAAGGCAGTTAATACATAGACGTCAAAGACATAACATAACACCCATGATGAGAGCTCATGATTCTTATGAGCTTTATACTGATATAGTGTTAAAGTGAAATGATTTCAATGGCAAGAGTTCACTGACTAATTACTTGTACACGGAAAATTGTATATTATTTGTATGGCCCATGATGAGAGCTCATGATTCTTGTCAGCTATATATACTGATAAAGTGTTATAGTGCAATGATTTCAGTGGCAAGAGTTTTAGCAAGAGAGAAAATTGTATACCATTTGTATGGTCTACGTTCAGAGCTCATGGTTTTTATCAGTTTTATACTGATATAGTGCTATACAGGATGTATCAAAAAAAGTGTCCCAAATGTAAAATTTTCGTTTTTCAGGATATTTTGCAGAGTTTGGCAAATTTTTGTGTTCCTAGAGATAGTTAAGACTTATCTGGTATACCTAGGCCAAGTTTAGTTTTTCATTAACAAAATTATGTTACCGGGGGGGGGGTTGTTTCCTTTCCACTGATATTGAGAGGGCTTGCGCGCGAAAATGTGAAGCTGAAATTGAGATATTATTTAGCTGTCTAAAAGTAGGAAAGCTTTTTGATAAACTGTCAAAGTTTCAGGAAAAATAATGCATACTGGGAGCAACGTGCGACCCCTAAAGGTGACTAATATTTCATTGTGCGCAGTGCATTAAATGCACCGTTGATTTTAGCGTAACCGATCTCATGCAAGGCTGGGCAAATGAATAAATAAAGCCAGAAACTGAATACAAAAACAAAGCAATTTATTCGTGATGTTAATCCTCAGCATGTGCACCATTTCATTCTAAGCAAAATGCCGCTCGTCTGAGCATAGTAAACACTGAACAGCGAACCATTTGTCTGTCCATTCGCCTACATTTGCCGGTGGTAGCGTAGGCGATTTGCAAGAAAGAATTTCGAACGAAATGGAGAATTTAAGGCAGGACAGACAAATGGTTGGCCGTTCAGTGTTTACCATGCTCAGACGAGCCGCAGTTTGCTTAGAAAGAAATGGTGGAAATGTTGAGGATTAACATCACCAATAAAAATCTTGTTATTAAATCGCTTCGTCTTTTTGTTCAGTTTCTCGCTTTAATTTATTCATTTGCCCACCCTTGCATGAGATCGGTCACGCTAAAATCAACACGGCATTTAATCCACTGCGCACAATGAAATATTTGTCAACTTTAGGGGTCGTGCGTTGCTTTCAGTATGCATTATTTTTTCTGAAACTTTGACAGTTTATTAAAAAGCTTTCCTACTTTTAAACAGCTAAATAATATCTCAATTTCAGCTTCACATTTTCGCGCACAAGCCCTCTCTACATCAGTGGAAAGGAACCACACCCCCTGGTAACATAATTTTGTTAATGAAAAACCAAACTTGGCCTAGGTATACCAGATAAGTCATAACTATCTCTAGGAACACAAAAATTTGCCAAATTTTACATTTTACATTTGGGACACTTTTTTTGATACACCCTGTATAGTGAAATGTGTTGGAAACGGGTCTTCACAACACAACCACAATCACAATTAAAAATTATAATAATAAAAACAATTTACATAAAGGTCAATACCGTGATACTACATATGCGTTCTCGCTTCGTACATGTGTTTTCAAACTTTTTCCCCCCGGCTCATTTCCCCCTTGGGGAGTGTTTTCGCCAGTATTATGTAATACTTCACTCTCCCCCTATTTGGCTTGTAACAAGGCAAATATAACACAATAAATTGCGTGCTGAACAATTAACTCAATGTAAATGTTTCTTTAGTTTATACTAAATGTTCTTTAGTCCAATTCGTCTAATTCATCTCTGACGATGTTCGCAATACGCTCACGCACCTTTGCTGCCGCATTTCTCGAAGATCTTCTGTATAAAACTTCTCGTTCTTCATTGGGTCCAATATAATCAATTTGGTTCTTGTCGCATGATAACTCCATGGGGAAGAGATGTTGCATCGCTCGTTCGTTATAGGATTTCCCAGCTCGTAATCTTGCTCCTCTGACTACTCCGTCTCTTCCAATAATGAATGATTCGATTATACCAATTCTCCACTTCCCTCGGTTTCGTTCATCGCCTTTTATCAGAACCACGTCACCTGGCTTCGCCGTCATCTGCTTTGTCTTGTGCTTTAGTTTGTGTCTTTCTCGTAATGATTTTAGGTATTAGTTTGTCCATCTGGCCCAAACGACATCTTTGCATCTTCTCAAATACCTTGCACGTTTTCGAAGTTCAACATCTTCCACTCCATTAGGTTCTTCTTCAGGCAGTTGGATTTGCTGCATGAACTGCATCGAATTTGGAGTTAATATCGGCATCTGGACATCATCCTCTACGTATGTCAGCGGTCGGTTGTTGATTGTGGTTTCGACATCGAGCAGTACTTCTTCTAACTCTTTCCAGCGTAGGTTTCCTTGTCCGATTGATTTGTAGAGTGCTTGTTTCATTACGCCGAGGGGCGCGCCCTAGTTGAACTTCCACTTGATATCTTGTTTTGCTAACCAACTGTTGAATTTCTCATCCTTTTGAACTCTTCGTAGCCATTTTGCAGCAGCTAAAAAGGTTTTACCATTGTCAGAAAATACCTTTTCTGGACGTCCCTTCCTTTCGATAAACCGCTTCAAACTGAGTAAAAACTCATCTGTACTTTGATTTGGCAATAGGTCGAGATAAACCGCCCTGGTTAAACTACAAGCATACAACGCTACGTAAGCCTTCTTCTCTTTCTTTGCTTTACTTAAATATCTGATTGGTCCCGCAAAGTCAACTCCGATGACTTGGAATGGTGTCGAACCGGTGGTTCTTTCGAGAGGCAAGTTAGCTGTCAGGGGAACTGCATACGCCTTAACCTGGAATCTTTTACACCTGTGGCACTTGCGTATCAGCCGTTTCGTCAGTCGCCTCAATTGCGGTATCCAATACTTTTCCCTGATTTTAGTCATTGTCAGTAAGGCTCCCCCATGTAGGGTCTGTGAGTGTGCATGCAGAACTAATTTCTGGCAACTACGTCTTCTTCAGGAACATAAATAGGATAGTCTCCTTGCACTCTTCCTCTGCATTCATAGATATCTCGTTCGTTTAATTGAAGATTTAGTTGGAGCTTGTCCTCTTCGAATTTTTCCTTTCCTTCATGTCGCGACTGTGCTCTTCTAATCCAGAACTCGAGCTGTTCATTTATGTCTTCTGTAGTCAGGGGGACGGTTACCTTTTGTTTCATCCTACAATTTCTGCAGTGATTCAAACGGTCTTCCAAAGATCCCATTTCTTAATAAGTTTATCCAGATCATCTTGCTCCAATTCCACTGCTACAGCTAGGACTTCCTTGATAACTTTAGCTTCGGCTAGCGATTCTTTGCTTGGGCTGGTTATTATGTCTTGAGGCCACTCGTTTTCGTCTATCAACCACGATGGTCCCTTGAGCCATGTCTCAGATAACTCGTCAACCTTGCCTCCCCGGCTTCCAAGGTCCGCTGGATTTTCAGTTTAACTGACATACCTCCACTGTATATAGTCCTTTTCCTGGATCTTATGAACGCGATGACTGACAAATTGTTTGTACTCGCCGTTTCCCCGAATCCAGTGGAGGGCCACTCTGCTATCTAGCCAACTGAATGTATTTCGGATTGGAAACCCCATCAATGCTTCCCTTGCGTTGTGGAGCAAGTTTGCTGACATATGTCCTGCGATGAGTTTGAGTCTTGGGATGGTTAAACCCTTTTTTGCGAGTCTTGACTTCAATGCCACAATACCTTGGCTGACACCTGACGGCTGCCTGGTGATGGCATAGACGACTGATGACACTCCTTTACCACTAGCATTGCCAAAGGCATGTAGATCAATTGCATCGATTTCCTCCTGATATCTAACAAGACTCCTCGCTATTTCAACTTCTTTCGGTCGGTTTAGTTCCCATGAAATCCATTTGGTGAGCAATTCCGGGTTTAATTCTTTATCCCAAGACATCCGTTCGTCACAGATTTCTCTATAGATCAATTTTCCCTGTAATGTTGTGGGTGATACAAATCCCAAGGGGTCATATATCTTAGCGATGTTACCGAGGACATTTCGTTTCGTGATTTCCTTCAACGGCTCTGGAAAGTTCACCTTGATACTGTCCGTATTCTTATCCCAAGGTACGCCAAGCAACTTTATTTCTCCAGCTTTTACTCCTAATTGCTCTTTTGCATAGCTCGTTTCAACTTCTTCAAAGGGCTCTGGTTCCAATTCAAGCTTCGGATTATTTGAATGCCACTTGTGCAGTTCAAATTTCCCTTCACTGAAGATGGTCACACACGATTTCTTCAGATTCTCGGTCTCCTCAAGCGTGTTCCCTCCCGATATGAGGTCGTCCACGTAAAGGCTGCGTCGTATTTCCTCTACCTCATTCGAAAAGACTGATTGCATGTTCTGGAGGTGCTGCTCGGTGACTCCCCCCAATAAGAATGGAGACGTGGAAAGGCCAAATAATGCTCTTGTGAATCTCAATGTCTCCACTTCTCTTGTTGTCAAGTCCTTCAGCCAATGAAAGCGTAACGCATCGCGATCATCTTTCCTTATTCGGACTTGCAAAAAGGCCTGCTTGATGTCGGCGGATAGAGCTACCGGGTGGAATCAATTCCTCACGAGAATACTCCATAATTGGTTTTGCAGTGCTGGGCCTGGCTCCAAACACTCATTTAACGAAGGAGCTCTCCCATTTGGACGTGCCGAAGCATCATACACAATTCGGGTTTTGGTACTTTCTGCTGTCTCACGTACGACTGGTTTATGAGGGATATAATATTCCTTCCTGCATGTTCAACAATTCCTTCCGATAATTGATCTTTTATTATTGCATCGTATTTGGACAGCAACCCGGGTTCTTTATCCAGTTTCTTCACGCGAGATTTTGTCGCTTAATGCTACCGTCCTTGTTGGCGAGTGGTGGGTGGTTCCCCTTCCAGAGGAACCCTGTTTCATACCATCCAATTGGACTTCTCACTAATTGCTCTTTAAATTATTGGTAGACACTGAATTGATCACCAGTTGGGTGGTCCTCCAGGCCAAGCACGTTGAGTCGACACAAATTCTCGTAGTCTAAGGATGTTGTTTGGGTTAAAAGCATCTTGGTCAGGTCAGCTTTCTTGCCCGGTGACATGATAGTCCACCCTAGCTGTGTCAGCTCTGCAATGGGTTCTTCGGGTTCTCCAAGTTTAGGTTTTTTATCTTCGTTTTAATCTTGGTGTATTCAGTAATTCCTAAGATCAGGTGCACAGGTAGTTCCCTTTTAGTATCTGTATCGTTCATGTTCACCCCGTTTAGATGATCGTACCGCTTTATCAGTTCAGGATGATTCAGGTTGTCCACGGTAAGTAACACCCCACAATTCACCTTGGTTACCTCAGATCTCAGAGTGAATTCACCTGATAGGCTTGTTACATTAACTTGATGTTCTTCTATTTCTTGTCTGGTGGTCTTCATCATCATCTCGATTTGACTGACTTCCTTTCGTATTGGCCGAGTTTTGATGCGTTCCAATAAGGCGGCTGATGCATAAGAACTGCCCGCTCCTGTATCTAACAGTGCACAACAATGTATCCCATTTACCCTGACTACAACGACAGGATATATAACTGAACTATCACCATTATTGGCCACTAGCATTTGTTCCGTTTTTTCCTCACAGATAGAAGTATGGTGTTTCTTTCGACATATTTGACAGGAGGATGGACAGCGAAACTCTGAGGCTCTATGGCTTGTGCCTGTGCAGTTAAAGCACAGTTTCTTTGATGATAGAATTTTCTTTCGTTCAGCTTTGGTAGTAACTTTGTCGCATTTCACTGACTTATGCTGAGTACTGTTGCAATAAACACAGGGTCTTGGTTGTACGCCTTTGTCCCTTGAGTGGAAGCTTCGGTTTCTAGGATCCCTTGGTTTTCTCTCGTTTCTGTCCTCATTTCTTGGTGGATTTCGTTCCGTCCACTTTCGCAACGCTTCGATGAGCTGAGGAAACTTCCAGCTTTGCCAGTCGTCGTCTGTACGCACCAGATCTCCTCGAATTCCTTCCAGCTTATCCAATGTCATTCGCACATAACCATTTACTTCACCAACGCGGCCCAAAGTTTCTAGTGCTTGTACGTTTGTTAGTAATCTTTCATAAAATATGGAAACCTTGGTTGGATTTGTGCCATGGACAGGTTCAAGTGACATGATGTTGTTGACATAGGCATTTACAATTTTACTTTCCTTGCCATATTTAGTTTTCAGAATATTTCTTGCTCTCTCAAACCCCTCTGTGGTCAGCGGTAATCCATCAACTAATGCTCTTACTTTGGGTTCCAATAGTTCTTTTAGATATGAAAATTTCGTCACACTCGAAATGTCAGTACCACCGATACTTGCTTCGTATTGTTCCCAAAATCTCGTCCAATCTGTGTAGTTACCATTGAATTTAGATATTACCAGCTTTGGTAGTTTGGTTGCCTTTGTTCCGTCTGGGTTTGATGCACTTCGATTTTCTTCCAGCCTTTTCTCATACTTTATTCTTTGTTCTAGCTTAGCTTTTTCGAGCTTTAGTTCATCTTCAAATTTCCTTTGTCGAGACTGTGCAGCCATTTCTTCCTCTTTAAACTTCTCGGCTTTGACCGCCTTCTGATTGATCCTTTTTAAGGACATGTCCATGTCAGCAATTTGTGCTTCAACAGTGAATAATTTGTTTTCTAAATCAGTGTTCCATGTTTGTATATCTTCTATGTTGTCGCCATTTTCAAGTTTTAGCTCTTGAATTTTAACTTTGATTTCATGTATCTCACTAACCTTCGTTGTTAAGGTTTTAATCTGTCGCCTGATGGCCAAAACATTGTTTGTTCCGACTGATTTCTCCGCTTGCTCTTGCGTAAAGCTGATGAGTTTGAGTTTTGTCTCGATATTTTTGCTCAAACTTTCGATTGATTCCATGATTTCTGGACTGAATCAGCCCACCCAAGGACACCACTTATGTTGGAAACGGGTCTTCACAACACAATCACAATCACAATTCAAAATTATAATAATAAAAACAATTTACATAAAGGTCAATACCGTGATACTACATATGCGTTCTTGCATCGTTCTCACTTCGTACATGTGTTTTAGAACTTTTTCCCCTGGCTCATTTTCCCCTCGGGGAGTGTTTTCGCCGGTATTAGGTAATTTACTTCAAATGATTTCAGTGGCAAGATTTCGCTGACTGATAACTCGTGCACGCGGAAACTTGTGTATTATTTGTATGGTTTATATCAATTTGATACTTACATAGTGTTATAATGAAATGATCTCAATGGCCAAGGTTCACTGAATAATTGCTCGCACACGGAAAATTGTTTACCGTGTATATAGTCAATGTATAGAGTTTATAGTTTTATATCAGTTGTATACGGTTATAGTGTTTGGTGAAATGATTGAATGCGTCGGAGATAATGCCCATACCGGTATTGTTTTTAAGCTATTCATTGCATATACATGAATGTTATTGTTTGCAGTTAATTTATGTCAATTTACTTTGCATAGTATCCTATTTCACAGCACTCTCAGTTGCACTCACTTGTTAAAGTATGGGTGGAAATTGATCGAGCGCTCTTGTACAGGTGACAACCTGTTCTAGATCTGCCTTTCCCCGAATTCCAAACGAACAGGGATGGGCGGGTGGGCCGTTACTGCTATCTTCCTGAGCGCTTGATCAAATTTGTCGAGAATGCAGTAAGAATGCCTCCGATTTTATAGGAGTCAAGGTCCCAGAGGGTTTACACACTTCATTAGAATTTGGTACTTCGTCCAACAATTGTTCCCATACAATGCTACGGTTATGCAATTCTCCAGCCCAAAAATAATTAAAGACTCGGAACTATAGATCTTGAACGTGTCCGAGGCTATCCCCATGGATAATTCTTTTCATTTCTTCTTCGGGTATAGCCGTCGACCCCCCACTGCTCCGAATGGGGTCTCCCATATAATTAACCTACGTCACACTTCGTTACGGAAGCTGCGTCGCCGTTGAGAGGGCCTGATCAAAAGAGGACTCAATCTCCCAGTCCCATGCCAGCGTAGAATTAACCAAAATGTAGCAAAGGGCAATTCATAAATTTTACATGGCGTTAACGCAACCATGAATGAACAATCAGCCTCGGGGAAACCCACGGATCAGTAGGGGGGCGACAGCTGTGACCTAGTAGCTAGGAGGGCTGGTTTAGGTGCCCTGTTTTCGCAACTGCCACACCTTGTGACCCTTTTTATTTCAATCAGAAAGGAGTGGTAGACAATTTCAAACATATAAAAAATTTAGCATGGTAAAGGTTCATAATAATTTAATAGGCTCTCATTGAGGTATAAGAAAATAAACATGCATGTGGAGTAAATAAATATAACACATCAATCTAGATCTCTTTTTTGGATGAGGTTGCAGTAGATGCCTGGTTCTGTTGTCGTTTCCACTTGAAACAGTTTATCTTCGTGTGCCCAAATTTCTGGCAGTAAAAACAACGAAGAGGACGATACGGTGGTGCGGCTCTTCCCGCTGTGGACTCACAGGTTTAGTTGGCCTGACGTCGCTTCTTATTCTTTTCAATCTTGGCAATTGTATCCAAAAATTCCTCTTGATCCTTATCACCTAATAGTGATAACAGGTACGCCCTAAATTGCTCATCCGAGCTTCCACTAAGTTGAGAGCGAAGAGTTTCGTGGGTTAATCTATAGTAATTCGCTCGCTCATGTTGACTGTCATGGGCCGAATTTTTAATGGTTTGTAGTAACTCCATAGAGTCAAAACGTGAAAATTCAGCAAGTGGTCGAGAGGCAAGGCTCCTAATTATGATCAGCAACCTATGCACTATCATTTTCGAATGAGATACAAAAGTCACACATGCGCTTATTTTAGCACGAAATAAAATAGCGCTCGTCCCGCAAGCTAAAAGCGGAATTAACGAACCGTAGCATAAGCATATTGACTGGCTGTTCGATAATTTACTTGGAATTTCCGAAGGCACACGAAGCGTCTAAGTGAAAACACTGGAATGCGTTTGGAACACAGGAACACGTTCTGGAACGCACATTAGGTTCGTCGCATTAGGTTACTTCTGAGCAGTACTGTACATTTACTTCTCAACTGACCCAACCCGAATTCTGAACATTTGATGATCTTTTGGAGCGACTTTAACCTGGACCGATTGCAGGATAAGAACTTACTGACTGCCTCCACACCTTCAGCAGGGCAGTTTACAAATGATAAGCTTCTTTGCAAATTCATCCAATCTTCAAGATCCGATGACTGTTGTATTTCAGACTTCCTATTTAATGTTAAACCAGATTCAACCTTCTCGATGTCGCTTTCCCATAAAACCATATGTATTGAAGCGGTGTTATCTGTAAGAATCTCTTCGTGCTTTCTTAGCCCTTTTTCGTTCTTTCTGATAGTTTCTTGAAACCATTGTTTTGTTATTCGCCTGCAAATATTAACGATGGAAGAAGACTCGCCGTCAACAATTGTTTTAACTTTCGTTAATCCTTCCGCTATTTGGCCGTCCGATATTTTGGCTGTCTGTTGAGTGTCAAAGTCAATTTCGTTCTCTTTGGGCATGTCAATTCTTGACTTCTTGTTGACAAGTATTTCGTCGTCATTTGTGTTCAGATTTCGTTTTAACTGAAATCTTGATAACTTGATTGGTGATGAAGGTTTGAATTTCAATTTGCATTGGGAATGTTTTTCAGGGCAAAAAAACCTGTGCGATAGGTGTGGGTTTTCATTTGGAGTTGCATATCAAATAATACATTTTTCCTTTGACTTTGTATGATCTGAGACAATTTATGCAAATAGGCTATGATAGCTTGACCTGGAAAGGGAATTTCACCTAAATTATCGCAATGAAGAGAGCTGGTCATGCAGCAAATTTAAAACATTTCATTAGAAATTGATTGTTATCAGTACTAAAATTTGTGCATATGTCGACCAAATTGTCGGGCTGTGTTCACCACTGGGCAAAAAGAGGTGCAAAACTATTCTGTTTAATAAATATATGAGTACTTAAAAGCAAACCTTCTTCCAACTTCACAACTGTTTGGTTTTGAGGTTTATCATCAGGAACCATAGCAACAAAAGTTAAAAAAAAGTTTGTAAAAAACAACTAGTACACGGACATTGATTTAGTAAATATGTAGTGTTTTCTTACAAATTTAGTTATTTAGACGAACCCTTACCCGTATTGAAAGCTGTTTTAGATCTTTTTCAGATGCTAAAAAGTAAAAATATAAATTAAAACATGCAGTGCTTCAAATTTAGTTATTTATATGAACCGTTATCCTTATTCATAGCTGCGTTGGGTTTTGTTTTTTCAGATTCTAAAAAATAATTTATGAAATTTAAAAAAAGTTTGTAAAAAACAACTAGTACACAGACATTGATTTAGTAAACATGTAGTGTTTAACAAGTACAGCAAGTGGCAGCCTTGGAAGATTTTGATTAGGTGCATATAGTATATCGATCACCGTGCCATTTGCTCCATTACAGAGACCAGCTGAAGTTCAAAGATTCATCGTTAACATTATTTTGGCACCTTCGCACAGAAGTAGAGTTGTTGGGGGCCAGGCCAATCGATGTGTGATGCAAGGGACTGGTAACTGGCAGGAAATTGAAATGAGGAAATTGAAATGCAGGATAAAATTCCGATGCCATGTGATTATACTGAAAAGCCAGATTCGTTTATACCAATCGTAGAATCTAATGTCGATTATACTGCCCGCCAACCTGGCTTTTCTAGTGCTACTTTGCATGTAAACGACGAAAACTACGAGAATGAAAATTATGAAAGCATACTGGTTCATGCTGGATGGGCCATAAAAAGAGCGAGAGACGTTATAGATAAAGGAGCAGACAAATTAGCAGCAAGAGAAACAGTAGACGAAGGTTCTCAAATTCTTTATGCCTGCAAAAAAATGCACTAGCAATAATTTCTCTCTTGGGAGCAGATGTAAAACAGCCAGACAGGTTATACAGGTTTTGTGTTCACGTACACATACTTTAGTTTTTCGTTTTTCTTCATACTTTTGTCGAAAGCATTTTCAGCCCAACCAACATCAAGAGAGCAACATCAATGCATTGTCTGGAACAAATGTCCATCAATAAAGAGCTACGCGATGACTTAATAAGAACAAACTAACCTTGAATACAAAAAAGTCCAAACTTATGATTATTGGGAGTAGCCGCAAACTTTCTAATATGATTCTGTGACAGTTAGAGTAGCTGGCAGTAATATAGAAAGAGTTGAAGAATTCGCGTATCTTGGAGTAATCTTCTCAACTAGTATGACCTGGACTGAACATGTTAACCAACTTTGTTCAAAGATCAGCAAACGCCTGGGGCTTCTAAAGAGAATTAAACATCTGCTACCGCGATATGCAAGACTACTTTTTTACAAGAGTCTGATTTTACCATTGTTTGACTACGGTGACCTGATATGAGGTGATAAGAACAATGACGTACTCAATTTACAAATTCTTCAGAATTAAGCGGCAAAAATCGTCCTTGATTATCATCCATATTCCTCGTCTAGTGCTGCGTTGGGTGAGTTGGGATGGATCATGCTTCACCATTGTCGATTTTATCATAGATGTTTATTCATTTTTAAATGTTCGAATGGTTTATCTATGTCTAAGCTAATCTTGAAATCACAAAGAGAAATTCATTCCTATAACACTAGAAATAAGAACAATTTACGCTTACCTAAAGTTAAAAGAAATTGGGGCAAGCAAAGGTTGGAATACCATGCAGTAAACAACTGGAACACTCTTAATGAAGAGACCAGATACTCAGACTCAATTGTTAAGTTCAAAAGGAACTTTTTAAAACTCACTAATACTGTATTATAACATCTATAGCACGTTGACGTACTCTTGGTATTCTATTTAGTATCTAAATATAACTATTTTAT